CGAGTTGTGCCAGGGTAAGTTTAGGTTGGATATCAGGAAACACTTCTTGACAGAAAGGATTGTTAAGCACTGGAATAGGCTCCCCGGTTGAGTCACCATCCCAGGATATGTTTAAAAACCATTTGGATGTGGTGCTCAGGGACATGATTTAGCGGGTTCTTAGGGTAGTACGGCCAGGTTGCAGTTGGACTTGATGATCTTTAAGGTCTTTTCCAACCTGAGCGATTCTATGAACCCAAAACAAAAGCTCACAGCACATTAACACTGCCGAGCGGTGAGCGCTGTAGCCTAAGGGCCCCGCCGTCCCGCCCCGCGGCGCCGCAGGGGTGGTCCCGGCGCGGCCGTCCCAGCAGTCCCAGCAGCGCGATGGCGGCCGGGCGGGACAGGGCTGTGTGCCTCCTGCGGCAGCTGCAGCGGGCGGCGTGAGTGCGGCCGGGCCGGGGGCCGAGGGGGCGGGCGGGGAGCAGCAGGGGGCGGCATGCGCCGTGCGTTCGGACGGCGTGGCCGAATGCCTGCGAGAGGCTCTGAGGGATACCTTCGGGTTTTCTGCCTTAGTTATACCTTTTAAACGTCACTTTTGTTTTTGTGTTGTGTTTTTTGTTTGTTTGTTGTTGTTGTTGTTTCTTTCCTGCTATCTAGGTGTCGGTGCCCGACTCACAGCCACACTTATTCCCAAGGTATGGTTTAAATCGTGTGTCTGAAATAATTCTATGTGAGACCATTAGTTACACATACTGCCTGGATAGAGGGTGCATGTAACAGGTAGAAAAGAGGACAGTGAAAGCGTAAGGTGGTCAGTCTTTTATTTTGCAGCTGTACAATAAAAAAGATTTTTGTTGGAGAGATCCCATGTCTCCAGGTAAGCTGCAGTCAGCGTCTCCTGTCCTCCTTCCCCCTGCTGAAAGGCTGCACAGAAGCTGGCTGCTGCTGGGCATAGAGTCATACGGTCACAGTGTGTCCTGAGCTGGAGAGGACCCACACAGATCACTGAGTCCAACTCCTGACTCTACACAGACCCACATAAAAATCAAGCTCTCTGTGTGAGAGCACTGTCCAAATGTTCTTTGAATTGTGGCAGCTTGGAGCCATGCCCACTGCTCTGTGCAGCCCGTTCCAGGCCCACCACTCTCTGGTGCAGACCCTTTCCCCATACCCCAGCTGCCCCCCCCCCCACCCTCGATGCAGTTCCATGCTGTTCCCTCGGGCCCTGTCCCGTCACAGAGAGCAGAGCTCAGCGCTGCCCTCTGTTCCCTGTGGGGAGCTGCAGCTGCCATCAGGCCTCCCCTCAGCTTCTCTGCTCTGCTCTGGGCAAACCAAGGGACTTCAGGTGATCCTCACATAGCTTGCCCTCCAGACACTTCCCCATCTTTGTAGCTCTCCTGTGGACTCTTTTTAATAGTTGTGTGTCATGTTTACTAGACTCAGAACAGTTTATTCCATTTTTTATTATAACTTCTTTTCCATTTGTCATGACATAAGTTGGGCTTTCCATTCCCAACCCTTCCTTCTTTTGCCTGAACAACTCCTGCATGTCTTCTTTGATTACACAACATGCCCTTCAGAGCTCTTCTCTCCCTTACTGCATTTCTCTGAAGCTTCTCACGCTGGACCACCTCCTTTGGCAAGTACAGTATCTACAGCTGGACAGTAGTTCTGCTGTCACCTGAGCCATCCCATCTTCACAACTACATCTGAGGGGGAAGATATGTACCTGTTATGCTTTAAAAAGAAACAAGTGAATAAAAAGGAGCTGTTCACAAAACTGTGCTTTAATGTGGGGATTGCCATCTCAGACTTTTTATGCAGTCAGTCCAGAGGAGGTGAGTCACCTAGGTCAGGGTTCAGGAACGTGAGCAGGAGAAGCCACACTGGTGATGGAGGTGCCTTTGCAGGAGCTTCTGTTTTGGGAGTCCAAGTTAATAACCATGTGCTGTTTAATCTCCGTATGTTCTCGTTCCCCACGTTTTACTCTTAATACTCTAAGGGTACAATACAAGATAGAATAGATACAATTTCTGTAAGAATTGATATTTGGGGCTGTAATTTCAGTAATAAGTAGTTCTGACTGGTTTTGTTTCAGAATTATCATTGCCATTGTACATGTGGAAAAGCTAATATATGTTCAAGTAGTTATTTTGCCCAAGCAAGCTAGGCAAAAGCACAGCTGTGAAATACGATCTCATTTTTTTCTGCTTGATTACCTCTTCAGTCAGTTTAAACTAAACCCCTGTAACTAGAAATCTTAATCAAAAATGCTCTCTAAATTTTAGGCAGAAATTGGTTGTTCAAAGTAGCAAGATGATATCAGTTCCATATGTCTGTAAGTAACGGGAATTGGCTAGTGACTAGCAAAAAAAAAATAATATATATATATATATATGTTGTTCATTGTGATTGTTGGCAGCATTGAGGGAAATGCTGCAGTTTTTGAACTCACCAAAATTCTTCCTGTAAGTTAAATTTTGCAAAAGAAAATAACAGCAGGTCACCTAGTGTATCATCAGAAAGCAAGTGAGTAAATCTCTTGGACATGTTCTTAGCCTGTCAAATTAATGACTGGGAGTACAGCACATCCATGCTTCAGGAGAGGTCAAACATATACAGCCTGGCAAGAGATGGCAATGAAAGTGCGGACAGCAGCTGGCCTGGGCTTGAATAGAATGCACATAAAGGATTTTAATACATCTATCTATTACTGTTGTAGGTCAGTGCTTCAGAGCACCCTGGAGTGTCTGTAAGACTCATTATGGCTTCATTCATTGGATCTGAATCCAAATCACATTTTTTTCAATTAATTAAGGCATGACTTCAGCTGGAAGAGTAGAATGCCTCATCTGATCCCTTCTTGGAGAAGAATGGGCTGTTTCAGTTGATGTGGTTTGTTTCACAGCATCAGGATATGCGAAAGAGAATTTTGTGAAAATTCATGCGGGAATGATATGGCAAAGAGAAGATATTATTGAAGTACTGTCCTCACAAATATATATTTTTTACTAAATAATGTTGATAGTAACGTTGATTCATATAAAAGCTCTGTTTATTATTAGCTATGCATGCAGTTTCTTAATTTTCAGGCAAGCAGTTCAGTGTCACCTATAAGGTCAGGACCAGTAAGAAGTAAAAAGAAGTATGAACACCTATCATAATAGTTTCCACACGCTCAAAAGGCACTTTCAGTTCAGAGGTGTATGGAGGATGTCTCTTGTTTTTGTCATGCAAGTTGTTCTGAAGGTCAGCACATAGACCCTGCACATTTGTAACAACTCTCAAACAGTATGGAGCATTCTGTATGCCTTGCAGATACTCAGCTGTTCGTATTTATCATACATGCATAAATATTCATATATATGACAAGTTCTTGTGCAAATTTCCTGCTAACTTACTCAGTTTGTATAAGAAAGAAATCTTAAGGAATGAAAAACTATCTTGAATTGTATGAATCAAAAGAACTCAAATGATTCTATGATTCTAAGTACTGAGATCATTTAGCCACACCAGCAGCTGAGCACAAAATGGGTGTTACCCAGACAAGCAAAGATGACCTGTGCCTATGTTTTGGTGATTTTAAAATCAAAGAAATCTGTCATTTTTAGTATTGCTGAGGTAGAGACTGAGGTATTGCTGTAGAGACTGAGGTCATTATTTGTTCTTTAATTTTAATGTTTAATTTTCATTTCAGTTCCTGAACGGGCTACCCTGAGAAATACAGACTATGCATTTGAGGTAGATTTAATAATAAAGTAAATTTGATTTAAAAATAGTATGCTTTTTACTATCAAATATGGCATTTAACAAGTGCTTCATTAGTAAATATTTAAATTTCATTTTTATTGCTTGGGGCTTGATGACATATCTTCACTTTTTCTAGAAAAAAGTATGTTCTTTGTTTTGCAGATGGCCATTTCAAACATCCGATATGGAGAAGGAGTCACTAAAGAGATTGGCATGGTAAGCATTGTTAATGCAAATCCATTACTGGGGAAGAGTTATTTTCTAAAAGGCTGCTGGTGCTGACAGTCTATTTAATATGTGAAAGCTCATATATTGTGTATCTGAACCTCCACTGTATGCCCATGTATGTATGTATCTGCAACTCCTCTTTTCTTTAACTATTATTCTTTCAAAACTCTTACAAGAAGCAACTGCTTTTCAAGGTTTCACTAAATGATTTAGCTGTTTTGGTGTACAATTCAAATAGGTGTGTGATTCAACACCGTTTGTTTTAATTTCATTGTTATTGTAGGACCTGCAGAATCTGGGTGCTAAAAGAGTTTGTTTGATGACAGATAGAAACCTTTCCCAACTGCCTCCTGTAGATGCAGTGTTGAATTCCTTGACAAAATCTGGTATAAACTTTCAGATGTATGATAACGTCCGGGTGGAGCCAACAGACCAGAGGTACTGCTTCTGACAGCACGTTTCTTAAAGGGGTGCTGAGGCTCTTTCAGCATGCCTTGCAGCTATTTGAACACCTCTTTGTGACCTATACACCAGCCTTAATTGTTTCCCCTGTGCTGTTATTCCCATGACTAATTGGAAAGCTTTCCTTGTTTTCCAAGTTTCCTGGATGCCGTTGAATTTGCTAAAAAGGGGGAATTTGATGCCTATGTTGCCGTTGGAGGTGGGTCTGTGATAGACACCTGTAAGGCTGCCAACCTGTATGCCTCCAGCCCTATGTCAGACTTCTTGGATTATGTCAACGCTCCTATAGGGAAGGGAAAGGCTGTCACTGTGTCCCTTAAGCCACTCATTGCAGGTAAAGCAGTAGAGGTGCGTGTGGGGAGTGAGGGAGAAGAGAAAAGGATCAGTTCTGTGGTCTGTGCATGTTTCTACTGAAATCTGTTTGCTGTGACCTTCTCCCCTCCCTTTGGGCTTACTTTTCCTCTAGCTGTATTCAGCAGTAAATCTGCTGTTTGCTTCACAGATTTTGTCATTACTTGGTCTTGTTGAGCAGAGTGTGGCAACCTTTTTCCAAGAAAAGCAATCAAAGAGGCTATTTCTTTTGACCCATTGGCTTCCAATTGGGAATACTTCCAGGATTTCCTGGATCTTGCACTTGTGGTGGCACTATTATTGTATTTTTATTTACTTGTTGTGAATATTTCTTATCTATTAATTATTTGTTTTTATTTATTGGTTGTGAATGCCCCCTCACTGGAAGCATTCAAGGCCAGGCTGAATGGGGCTTTGAGCTACCTGTTCTAGAGAGAGGTGTCCCTCCCTAAAACAGGGGGTTGGAACTGCATGATCTTAAAAGTCCCTTCCAACCCAAACCATTCTATTTAATGATTTAATGATTTATTTTGTGTTAATAAGTATCATTTATTATATGTTGTCCTTGTTCTTTTTCAAAGTGCCTACAACAGCTGGAACTGGAAGTGAAACCACTGGTGTTGCCATTTTTGACTTCAAAGAGCTTAAAGTAAAAACTGGTAAGACTTTTTGTTTGCTATTCAAAACAATTTTTGTATCCCAATGTCTTCATCATTTCCTTGCCTTGAACAAGAGGGATACTGCCTGTCATTTCAGATGTCATTTCATTTGATTCAACTGCCACAGACAAATTTGAAGCTTAAAGGTTTCCTCCTCAAATTAAATTTATAGCATATTAACATAATGAAATGCCTGTGCAATACAGTGGATTACAGTTTGAAAGCAAACCAGGATACTAAAATCCTTCAAGTCTTTAAATGGCAGAAAATGTTAATAGCAAAGGAAATTTCTACTTACATTCAAGGTCAACCAACTGTTCCTTATTTCCTCTGTATTTTTCTGTCTGTTTTTAAGACTTATGCTTCTTTGTTTTGTAATTGCAGCCAAATGTTCCCTTTCCTGACTTCTAAAACCTTGGGCCTGAGATGCTGTGCAAATAAAGGGCACTGTCTTCCTTTGACCTTTTCATCCCTGGAAAACAAGGATTACAGCTAAAATGTCATCTTAAGCTTCACAGCTATTTTGAGGTTTTATTTCAAAACATGTGGATTTTATATGCTATGTCTGCAGAGGCTGGGACCCAAACGTGTGTACTAGGGAGTTGTGACTGTAGCTTAGAGTTTTATAATCTATATGTAGTCAGTCAGTCTGTCTGCATGGCTCTCTCTCTCTCAGAGCTACATCTGTGTCACCTTAGCCATGATATAAAGGCAGAGATTACAAATCTGAGATACGATAAATATCAATTTATGGTGGAAACAAACCAGTCTTCCTCTGATTCCTAGAGCTGTTCACAAGAGATACAAATTTAAGAGCGATGTTGCAGATGTCGTTCAGCACAGATGTTTTAAAAGTGCAGTCTGCTCAAGGAGAGTGACAGAGAACACTGGTGGAGTTTACTTCAGGCAACAGTCTGTTATGGGGACTTCAGTAAGATTTAGATTCATAGATCTTGCTCTCCCTTCTCTCCCTTTGCTTTTCTCTATGTATTTTCAAATCATTTCCCTTCTTTATGTATTGAACATTAAACTTTTGTGGTCCTGTTTTGTTGTAAAAACTCTTTAACTCATTTCCCTCAAATACATTGCAGGTATTGCTTCAAGAGCCATCAAGCCAACACTGGGCATCATTGATCCTTTGCACACACTGTCTATGCCTGAGCGAATAGTGGCCAACAGTGGCTTTGATGTGCTTTGGTGAGTTTTCTGTGTAGGCTACTGCTTGATTTTATTGCAATTTTCTATTTTTGCTACAGTGGTTGTAGAAAAAGTGTACTTGAGGAGTAGAAAACGATCTTTTTTCTTCCTCTCTGTTCTTATTAAGGTGATCTGTTATACTTTCCTCTTAATTGTAATGTGCTTTTCACTTGTCAGAAAACTATCTTCAGCTTTAACCTACAGCTTTTAACTGCTCAAAGTACAGAGAAGTTTATATTCTGGGAGTCAGAACTTGTCTTGCTTCTGGGTGCTGCATGCATTAGAGTAATAGATGCGTAAGGAAACTGTGTGACTTCTCAAGCTTGGTGAGTTGTTCTGAGCTACAATGTCTAACGGCATTTCTTTGTAAACAAAGATAGTCTGTCTGTAGTTCGTACATCTAAGTGTAGCAGTGTAGGCAGTACATTTCATGTAACCAGATTTATGAGTATCTGGGAAATAAGACCTTTGGCAGCGGGCTCTCCCACTTAAATTCATTGTTTAATCTTTCTTTTAGCCATGCTCTTGAATCGTACACTGCTCTTCCATACAAGATGCGCAGTCCTTGCCCTTCAAATCCAATCAACAGACCAGCTTACCAAGGCAGCAACCCCATCAGTGATGTCTGGGCTCTTCATGCTCTACGCATTGTAGCTAAATATTTGAAAAGGTAATACCTTTATCAGCCATCCCTCCTCACAGAATATTTAGTCTTCAGTGCTCAAAAAGAAGAACTTGAGTTTTAGTTTGAAGTAATGAATTAAACCTACATTTTCTACCTTTAATTCCTCCTGAATTAGGATTACTCCTGTAGAGTTAGCTTTTTAATGCTCTGGATCTATTTTAGAAGTCCTCAATAAAAAGTATTTATAGTCACTCAGTTAATATGAGAGAAAAAATCATGTTTTTTTGAAGAATTCTCTTTCTTTGACATTGTAAGGAGAATATGTAGCAAACTGAATAAGACATAATGCTGGTGTCATTTTCATGGCTTTCAGTGTAAATTAATATGCACATGCATCCATCGAGAAGATAACGACATTCACTTAACTACGTGCAAAGTTATGTTTTTACTGAAAACTAGTTAATGCCTTCAGTTTAAATTAAGTTTTGACTTAATTGGGAGTTGGATTTGATCCTTACCAATGAAGTTTTGGTCTGTATAAACCTTTGGTCTGTATAAACTTTTATATACAATGTAAGTTTATGTTAAAGATCACTATGTTATTTTGTTAAAGACTTTTTACAATACCTGGCCATTCTAAATGTTTTCTGTTGTTCTATGGAACCTATTCCTGAGACTTTTTATCCATGCTGTTCACCTCTACAAGTAACCTGATGTGAGGGAAGGCAGGGAAGTTTGACAGATGGTAGGGTTCAGAGCAGCACCAATTAAGATAGTCCTGGATCTGGCACATGGAGTTGTCTAAATTCTTTGACAGAATTGTTGAAACCACCACTAAATTGGATGCAGCTAATTTCACCCTATTTACTCAGTTTTTGGCAAAGTGAAATGGCCTTCGCTGAAGCAGTTTGATCTTCTGATCAGGATTGTTCTTTGGCTGAAGTGACAAACATCCCATTTTCAGGATTTTTCTCTCAGCTTATCTGGAAGATTTTTTCTAAATCTGTAAAGAAACTGGTTTTTTCCCTTCTCTGTCCTTCCATGTTGTACAGAGCCATCAGAAACCCTGAAGATCGTGAAGCAAGAGCCAACATGCACCTTGCAAGTGCTTTTGCTGGTATTGGCTTTGGCAATGCTGGCGTTCATCTCTGGTGAGTACAGGAAATGTTAATCCCTTCACAGACATTGCTGCCTTTTTTTCCAGGGTATATGATAAGACACTGTTGCATGCTGCTGCTTATCTCAGGGAGAGCCATATGTTGTGAGACGTTGATAGTTCTTGGCGTGTACATGTATGAAGGTTGTGTATTCTGGCGTGTGATATTCAGTTCAATCTTGAGAGATTTCCAAAACATGGTCATAACCAAAACGAGATTTCCAAAACCTGACCATAAAAGTAAAACTACACAGCTAAAATGTTGAATCCTGTGTCAGCTGCTTTGCAGTCTGCTAGGGTGCAGAAAGTGAGGGTTATCTGTACCCGATATCCATACTGTATCTGTGCCTAACATCCTTTGTGTGTCTGTGTCTAAGAGACTTGCATACAGAAGGCTGACTGCACAAGGGACTGAACATACATTTTCCAAATACCAGGCAAGTTGCCCTAATTTCTTTCTCTCTATTCTCTGTTCCAGCCATGGAATGTCTTATCCTATTTCTGGTTTGGTGAAAACTTATAAACCAAAGGATTATAATGTGGATCACTCTTTAGTGGTAAAACTTGATTCATTTTTGTTTTCTTATTATACATTTCAATTCCCTGTTATCTCACATTAATGAGTGCCAAAGCACATTGAAAATGCAAATAGATGTGCTATTGTTGTGTTTGTATATGTACATATATATCTATATAACTTTTATTTTTATTTTTTTCCAGCCACATGGCCTTTCTGTGGTGCTGACATCCCCAGCAGTGTTTGCTTTCACAGCACAGGTACATCCTGAGCGGCACTTGGAAGCTGCAGAGATATTAGGTAAGGATCTCTATGGATTCAACTTGCTTATATTTACAAAAATTGTTCCAAAATGGCTTTTGGAGAGGGAAAAAAAAGAGTGTGGAAGCAATTGTAGTGGCTGTTGTGGAGTTTTTCTGTTCAAAAAACAAATGTTGATTTCTGGAGTCTAATTTTTTTGTATTGAATAGTGTAATTAGAGAAGCAAGCTGGAGAACTCTGCTTTTTGGCTAAAAAACTAGAAAGCTGACATGAACTATAGATAACTGTGTAAATCAACAGAGCATAACTGCGATTGGAGTCTCTCAGTGCTTTATAGTTACTGTAGCATTGATACCATAAAACAAACTGGTACTCAGGTGCATCTGTTACCTAAAAGGAAGTATTTTGCCTAACAAATTCCCTCCTGTTGCAATGAATTAGGACAGTGACGTTCTGGATCACTCCTGCTCTTTTTGAGAACAAACTGTAACTGTGGCTTTCAGTCCTTCTAATGTAGGCCTAAGCTTATTTGTAGGTGATGGAATTTCTGAGTGGACAGCTTCAAGGGAAAGCACTGAGTAGCTGTTCTGCAGTCACATCTGTGGTGGCTCAGAAGAGGGATTTTCTGCTTCTTACCACAATAAAAGTAAATGTTGCAAGCTGACAACACATTTAAAAATGACATTTTCATACAGCTCTTCGTAAATCTGTGCAACCCATTGCTGGAAGGTGTCCTGGAGATAAGATACTCTTCATTGCACCCCCAGCATAACTGTGTATAATAAACTAGCTTTCAGCTGTGTATTCCTGGAGCTGTTACCAGTCTAGCTGTGGCAGCATGGCTTTCCCTTGGGCTATTTTATTTATATCTAAGGTCAGCTTTTCTGCCTGTGCTACATTCTGTGTTGTAGCTAAACTGCTGCTAATGCCCATGCTTGCTATCTTAAGCAGTGAGCAATCACAGACACATGCAGAGCAGTGTGGACAGCAGAGAGAAAGTGGGTAGGGCAACTCTCCTGGTATTTGGAAAATCTGTATTCAATCCCTTGTATGGTCAACCTTCTGCATGCAAGTCACAACAATCCAGTCACGTGTACAACTTCCCTGCACGAGTAATCTGAAGGCATCGTGGGTTTCATCAAAGAGTGGGACTTTTGTATATGAAAATATCATGGTCACATTAATAAGGACATGAGATATGAAACATGGTCAGAAAAAATAGATTGGTGGGGAGGGATTAATTCAGATTATTTTTTAATTGCTGATTATGAAGTTTGTTCAGACTTCCTCCAAAGTATGCAGTCCTGTCTGTGCTCAGAAACAGAATGCAGATGTAGCTGGAATCATATGCAAAGCTACAAAATGCCTGTGTTCCTATAGCAATGACATTCAGCTCACATAAAGCAGACTAAGAAAATGTTGTTGGAAAACTGGCCTGCACAGTGCACATGAGAGGATTTGATCTCTGGCTCACTGATTTTAAAAGTAGGAGTGAAAAAGCAGTTCCTTTAGGTTTTGTGGTATGAACGGCTGCCAGAAATTCTGCCTCTAAAAGCTCCATTAATTTTCTCAATAGAAATTTAAACTATGTTAGTGCCTGCCACGCTATAAAGTGACTGACTTTGCTGAGATGACACATGGAAATGAACTTGTTAATTCCCACCTGGGCTATTTACTTTTTATTCAAGTCTGGAATCCAACTGACTCCAGTAGCTAATTCAAATCTGTCACATTGCCAAATGCAGTGACTAAGAAAGTATTTTATAACGTGGAGAAGATTACTAAATAGTTATGTTGTATGAATGTGCAGCTGTGAATTTGGGTACAGCCAGAGAAAGCTTAATACCCCCCTGGGAGGATTCTTAAACAGTTGAAGTAGGCATGTGTGTGGCCAGATATTTGCGGAGTGCCATCAAAGGCTGATGGGTCCTTTAGGATGATCAAAAAAGAAAGTAACAGAACTGCAGCAGTGTTTTGAAACTCTCCTTCACATCTACTTTTTGCCTCTGTTCCTTTCCCTTTTCACTTCACTATCTGAAGATACTGGATTGCCTTTGTGTTCTAATTACTCCTCTACAGCAAAACTCGGGGTAAAATCAGGTAGCATGGCATAATTCCAGTAGAATAGTCTTCGAACCAGACTCTGCCATATGTTATTTATCAAGTTCTCCCAGACAGTCTATACTGCAGTACTGCCACTATTGCTACCCAAACATCTGAGCTACTCAAATGAGCTTGTTGCTCTCCTGTTCCCTCTTGAACTGCATGAGGATCACAGAAAATATTTTTGCTGTAGCTATGTTGTGTTCTTACTCATTCTCTCAGTATGGTGCTTGGACCCAGCATAGTTCTTGTGTAACATCATTGAGGTTACGCAGAGAATAAATTTGGCTCATCTTGCTTGGGAAAGAGGACATATGGAAGAAGCTGTCTTCTATTTGGACATATAATTTTTAATTTAATACAGTCCTGACCATTCATTGCAGAAAGGGGAGCAAGCTATTCCATAAGAAATAACAGTAATCTTTCATTTTATATTGAAACTTCCATTGCTGTTCAGCAGATGTTTCAAATATACCAGTTCCTCTTCTTCAATTCTGCACTGCTCTACACATCAGCACACGTTCAAACTTTAGGATTGATTTAACCCACTAAACACTGCCCTGCCATCTCCTGGTTTTTTCAGCCCACACACTCTCGTCCTCTCTTTGAAAGCGTAATAGAACAGAACAGGCAGTAGAGAATTGCCTGCTACTGGTTTCCTCATCCTCTAGATGTCAGCAAACTCAAGGCCTGAAGTAAAACTAGCATTTGGCACACTGTCCATAAAAATAAATACCACTGACGTTCATGTGCTAGCTGCTTTCCTCCCAGCAGTTAGTCAGACTGAAAAGTGCTTCTCCCTGTAAGCACAGAGGGAGGGGAAGTTAACTTCATGTGGCAGTTAGTCCTTTTGGCAGCAGTTACCTGCTTCTCCCGCTCTTGTTTTATTTTACTTTTTACAGATTATTCCAACTTCCGAATGAAGACTGATTCCTCTTCTTACTACGTGTTGCTTTTAGAGCAGTGACTGTAATGTATGGATATGTATTCAGCTGATATTATGATTAAATTAAGTCCAGAACAGGCTTCCTCCTCTCTCTCCACCCTACAGTCAAGGCATTATGTCTTATTTTAGGAGCTGACATCCGCACTGCCAGAATCAAAGATGCGGGGTTGATTTTGGCAGACACGCTCCGGAAATTCCTGTTTGATCTGAATGTTGATGATGGCTTAGCTGCAATCGGTTATTCTAAAGCAGACATCCCTGCATTAGTCAAAGGCACTCTGCCTCAGGTAAGACAGAAAGTAAAAGTTTTACTTGTCAAATAAAATAGATTAAAAATAAAAACAGAAGTGTTTCTTTCCAAGCAAATGTGATTTCTAATCCTACATGAAAACAACTGCAGTGGAGAAAATGAGGCGTAGTCTTTTCTCTGCATAGTTTCAGTTTTTAATTTTTGGTGAGATGAAGTGCATGCTGCATTCTGTTCTTTGCACGGATTCAGTCTCAGATGGATTTATATTTCATTTATTGTTCTCTCACAGCACTGATTAATTGTGCTTTGTAAAACAAGATGATCTAGTAGTTTCTCAAACCTCATTTTTGGATATGGGATGTACCACAATGCAAAAGTATTTGTATTCGTTAGTACCCACACAGGTAGTCCATACAGCTCAGTCTTTGATAAACTTTTCTTTCATCTTGCAGTAGGCTTTCTTCAGAAGCAGCACACACCCATTCATGTTGGCCAGGCAGCACGTTGCAACTGGTGCTGCTAATAAATCTGCAGCATCCATTCCATGCTGTGAATTGCAGGCTGCAGGCTGGGAACTGTGTTGGGACAAACATCTGTACTCCAAGTTAGAACAGAAATTTGTTTTCCTTTCTAAGTGAATTTGCTGAAACTGATCCTATTCACAACACAGTAGTGAGTCTAACTAGCAAAGAACATCATGTCCTAGGGCAGAAAATGTGGCGGGTTCTGTGTGCAATTTGAGAGGGAGATGAGGAAAGCTGAAAGCAGGAGGTAGCAGCATAGCCCACCTACCCCTGCAAACCTGCCAGGGGAAGCTGAAGGATTGCTGACCCACGGATTGGGGCATTATTGGCACACAGTCGCTCATGGTTGGCACTGTACCAGACTTCCCTGAGTCAGAAGGGAGGAGCCGAGGCCTCGCTGTCCTGGCATCGGTGCATAGCAGGCTTGTGTGTAGGCAGTGCTGGTGCTCTGTGCTGACCAGAGATGAGGAAAGAGATATCAGCTGTACCTGCAAAGCTACTGTTGTGGGTAGAGCTAAAGTGTGCACGAAGCTACACTTTTCAGACTCATCACAGCTCATGCTAGTCACGGTGGTTGCAAACTGTACCTCAGAGGTGACTTCCTCTCCGTGGTGGCCCAGCATTGCAGATAGGAACCTCACACTGTGCTGCCTGGTCTCCCCTGAGAAAAATCAGTGTGCTTACAGGGATGGATCCACCAGGCACATATCAAAACAAGTTGTAGCAGGAGAAACTCCTTTTTGCCAAAGTGACAGCATTCACCTAGAGACTGCTTTGCTGAGAAACAGTGCCTTCCTGCTGTGTTTATGCAGGTGGCTGTAAATCTCCCCAGTGCTTCTGTAAATGTTAAATTCATTGACTATTGAAAGCATAAAGCTACTAATCATAACTGTACAGCTCCCTGGTCTTTCAGAGATGTTGTAATTTGAAAATATCAGTCCCTAAAGATTGATCTCCTCATTTCAGTGCTGGCAAATGACTTTTAAAATGGACTCTATTCACAGAATACCACCCAGCAGCATATACAAGTCTGTGACTGGCAAGACCCATGTTTGAAGTACTTGACTTTGCAGCTGAATTGCTTTTTAATCTTGCTTCTATGTGTTTAATTACAAGCAATTTTTACGTAATGAATTCTTGAAAGTACGGTACAATTGATGATGCTTCAACCTTAATTACTTGATTACTTACTTGCAAAACTTTGTTATTCTCTGTGAAGGACACGAGCACAAAGACACATCATTCAGCCACACACTTAGCTGCTCTTTGATTCAATTTGTTGACAACCTTCTTTAATCCCATTTTTCTTTCATCTTGCAGGAGAGAGTGACTAAACTGTCACCACGTCCCCAAACAGAAGAAGACTTATCTGCCCTTTTTGAGGCCTCCATGAAGCTTTATTAGCTTAAACACTACACTCAGATGCGTGCTCTTTTCTAACACAAAGGTAATTTCTTACAGATAGGGAGATTTAATTTTTTTTTAGAGAATGGAAGAACTTAGGTGTCTTCCAGTCCTATTCCATTGTGCACTGCCAAAAGATCAAGGAATTCATCTTTAACTAAACCACACTTTGAAATGAAGGCTCGATTGCGTTTTTCTTTGCTCAGTAGTCTGTGGTATTACTTGCATAAAGGTTGAATCAAACATCTAGCTTTACTGAAAGCTTTCTTGTGCTTCAGAGGTGGTTAAAGGTGAAAATAGTTCCTAAAGGGTATTCCAAAACATTTAATAAAATACTGTTTTTATTTCAATTGTCTGTAATTTTACTAGGAAGCCATGCTATTTATGAAATAGTTGGGATCACTTTAATTAAGGAGGATCAGTTCCCTTGCAGAAAATGTCAAATTGCTGTGTTCTGGACCACTTTATCATCTTTTACCATCTTGCTTCACCAGGAAGACTTTTGAAGGGACTAGTTTGCTGTTTATAAGGAAAAACATACATACTTATTACACATTTGGAAGAGGCTTCCACAGATTTTGCTTTGGGTTAAAGTTTTGAAAATTATTTTCAGTTATTTGTCTTTTCTTTAAAGATGTATCTAAATTATGCAGAGAAGGAGCAAATACAGAGTAAAGCATGGTTGCACACTCAGCAGGAACCACGTAACAGCAAGACATCATCCATCACAGTCATTTTGTCTGTGTTCCCCTTTCCTGCTGTGTTCTGTGGAAAGAAACTACCAACCGTATCTTGCTTCTGTGGGAAAGAATTGCTTCTGCTGAACTTCTGCAGATGCTGCCATTCAGAGCACAGCCACCAGCTTGAGGAAGTGGCACTGCGCTGTGGTTCACTATTAACAAGTGGTGGTGTAGCATATGGCTGTGAGTGCCCCACTGGGAGTGCTGGTTAGATGTGGGAATGAGTGTGCACGTTCAGAGCAGTTAACCAGCTGGTTGGTTGTCAACTGAGAAAGGGAAGTGGGAAAGGGAGAAACAAAACTAAAATTTTAATATTATTAATATATATATTTTTTAAGTGTATATGGTTGTGTGTGCAGTTCATTTAAATCAGGTTCTGCTTTATGTTGGACCGTTTCAGCATCAGATACGTGCAGTGAGCGCAGTACAAGACAAATGCAAGAATCCCATAATCTCTGGTGTTCCCATTTCTGTCTGCTAGGAAGAGAGCAGCTCTTCAGTCTGTCTGTTAAAGCTGAAGGCTCTGTACATACACCTTTTGTGCTTTTGTGTTGATCTGCTTTTGTGTTGATAGCATTAACCTAGGATCTGAAGACAGGTAGGTCCTGGATGTTGGCATCAGGTCTGTTAAAGGAGGTGGGTGGCTGCTGGTTGAAGACCAGAGATAGTCATAACAGCAGAAGAGATTTAGTGGGCATAGAGACTGCACTGCCAAAATGCCTCACCCTGTTCTGGAAAGCACATGTACTTCCCATGTCCTCCTGAATCTTGTCCTCTGAAATTGTCCAGAGGAAACTCTATCACAAAGGCTTCCTTCATAATAAGTGGCAAGGGATTCATTTTATTGTATTCTGTAAAGCTGCTATATTTGTACTGTTCTGTACTGAGAAAATCTGGTCTTTGTCTTTGAACATGTCTGTATTGTGCACATGAACATGGCATTTCTGTAGGAGTGGGGGGTGAAATTGTAACTGTAAGTACCCAGTGATGGCTGGGCATTTGTGTGACACCTGAGTGACCAATTCCACGTGGGACTTCCGTTATGGCTCTGCCGAAGACCTGCAGGATACATCTGTTTTTGCCTTGAGATGATACTGGAACACAAATAATGAACATTATTGTGCTTGCTATAAACACAAGATTATTTGGAAACATTTGAGAGCGAGTTTGACTCTGTCCTGTTAACTTCAATCTTAAAAAGTAACGACTGTGAACAAGAACCATTCAGAAAAAAAAAAGCTTTAGTTAGCTTCAGAGTGCATAGGGACTCCTCCTACTGGGTTGTCTGCTTGGTGAACTCAGCAGTCCATAGCCACAGGTGACTACTGAAATGAATATTGGAGGAATTCCAGAAATAATGGCACCCCAATCATTGCACTGTAATTCTCCGGACATTTAGGAAGCTTTCTGTATGCTCTACTCTTTGTAGTCAGTATTTAGTTTCAGGAAATACTAGGATTTGGACTTTTATCATGAAATATGTAGTATGTTATATTTGTTAGCAGTAGAGTATGATTGATTTCTTCCATTTCCCTGTGGAATCACCGTTTTACTTTCTGACTTAAATAGCTAAAAATACACAGTGGGTTTTGTCAGTATTTACAAGGGCTGTTCTGAAAGTAGTGCCTCCTATTTCATTATATTGACCCATGACATCAGAGGCAGATGATGGTGATATGGCAGCAGAGGCTGAAGGTTCCCACCAGTACTCCATTACATGTTGTTGCTGTATGACAGATGGCAGCAGAGGGGTGGTCTGACAAAATGGCCTCTGACATGGAAGCGCATATGAAGCAAAGGTGTGTTGTGGAATTCCTTCGTGCGGAAAAAAATGCACCCACTGACATTAATTGACACTTGCTGAACATTTATGGAGACCAAACAGTGGATGGGAGCACAGTGAGGCGGTGGGTGCTGTATTTCAGCAGTGGTGACACTGACAGAGGATCACCTCCACTGGTGCAGGTATTTACAGGTATGGCATGCAGGCACTCTCCCCTGACAGAGTACTCAGAGCTTGCAGAGTTGCTGCTTGGTGTCAGTAGAAATGGGGGCAGTTTGTACAACACTTTGTCCAGCCCCTGGTCCTTTCCCTCTTCCCATTTCAGTGCTTACTATCCCAGCAGTTAGAGCAAAAGAAGAAAAAGCAAAAAACAGGTAACTAGTATGGCTAAATCTCTGAAAACTCTCACAGTTGTCCTGTATGAATAGAAGTGGAAGAAACTGCAGGTAAGTCTTTGTGAATGCTCATCCCTCATTGCATTGTGCTCACTTCAAGGCAGTGTGCCAAAGCTGTCATCTTCTGTCTTGTGGTTGGTTTTCCATCCCTCTGAGACTTGAAAAATGGATGAGGTAGAGTGTTACTTAAAAGTCGCACAGCAAAGCTATCTCTAGGCACTTTCTATAACCCCCAAGTAAATCTGCTTAAGCACCACAGAGCTACAGGACGTGTGCAGTACATTTTGGCCTTTAGCATCTCCAGCCTCATAAATCCATCACTGTGCTCAATACCTCTGTGGAGAAGAGAAAGGGCAACACGATGCAGTACAGCAAAAGCCTAAAAGTATAGTCTGCATTTTGCCTCAGACCACCACTGTGTACTTTCTAAATAAAAAGGCACTTAATTTAAATTCAAAGTAGTTGTTAAAAACACCAGCAAGTGAATAGGGAATACTGATCATTTTCCCTTGTGATAGGACAAGAAATGGTTTTAAACTAAAAGAAGGGAGGTTTAGGTTAATTGTTAGGTGGAAATTCTATACTCAAAGGGTTGTGAGGCGCTGGCACGGCTGCCCAGTGAAGATGTGGTGCCCCATCCCTGGAGGCACTCAGGGCCAGGCTGGATGGGACCCTGGGCACTGAGCTGGTGGGTGGCAGCCCTGCCCACAGCAGGGGGCTGGGACTGGGTGGGCTTTGAGGCCCCTTCCAACACAAAGCATTCTGTAATTAATTCTGTGATTCTATGATATGTCACAGTGATTGTGGCTATGAAGTTGTACATGAGATCAAGCAGAGGCTTACTCCTTTGCTCTGAATTTCTCAGTGAAACTGACACACAGAAAAAAAAGAAAAATAAAGACATATCACCATGAAAGCTTCAGTTCCCTTAAGTTCTCTTAAATGCAGAATTTCAGACTGCAGTTTTATATTTTGCCAATTTGGGTCTCCCATTAGGAAAAAGAAAGCCATTTTCTCTTTTCACCATTGTGCTGAGACAGCTATCACAAGGGAGCTAGTAGAAACAACATGCAGCCAAATAATAACAGTAAGAGAAAGGATCATCTTGACACAGCTCAGTGGAATGTTTATTCGCTATTCATGCCCTTAATTTAACTGGTTTCCTATGAATAGCAGAGAGAAATTAAAAAAAAAAAAAAAAAAAAAAAAGACTTGCCATGAAGAGGCTCAGCCATGTAAAAGCAGAGGAGTTGTGGCGTATCCTTTCAAGGGTGCTTGACATTGACATGGCCTGGTTCTGCTATTGATGTGGGCAGCACGAGTCAACTTGTACAATCACAGACTCATTAAAGTTGGAAATACCACTAAGATCATCTAATTGCAGCCATCAACCCATCAGTACCATGCTCACTAACCCATGTCGCTCAATGCAACATCTCCCCTTTTCTTGAACACCTTCAGGAATGGCAGGTAACTCCACCACCTCGCTGAGCAGCCTGTTCCAATGCCTCAATCCAGCAGTAACAGGAACCATTCTGTTTACAGCTCCCTTACATGTTTAATTTGATCTAAGACTGCTGTATCATGAAATATATATCATAGCACAAACATGAATTTATCGATGTGGAACAACTTCTCTGTGTTCACTGACTTGTAGTGACTTTGACCCACTTTAACAATATGCTGGAGTTTTTCATGGGATGTGCTATCTGAGTGTTTGACCATACAGCCTTAAATTAGCAACTTGACATTGAAATGCTGATTTACACCTGCAGTCAAATGGATAACACATGTTAAAGACCGATTGTCAGCAGCTCCAATACATTATTGCTTCATTCTGTGTCATTGTCACTTGCCTTTATGCAATTTAAGGACAGCATTGTGTGGCATTGTTGGTATCCTATGGACACAGCTGTAGGGGGCTGACACTTTCTATGGAGTTTGTCATCTATCTAAAGCTGACATCACCTTCAAAAAATCCCTGTCAGCGTTGGGATGTTTAAGTGTTGCTCTATGTTCTAAGGCCACATTGGAAATAAAGAAGAAGCTTCTTTTGCAGGCATAAAAAACAGTTAACATTGAATAACTCCCGTTCTGACCTTTTCACCCCAAGGAAGATTAATGGTCATTTAGATCAGATCTTGCCCCTGATTGCGGGTCTGAGTGCTGCAAGGATTCAGACAGACAAAGAAAGCCTTTTCCCCTCTGGTCACCAGCCCAGACCTGCAGTGTGTCTCCAGTGACCATGAGGTGGCCGTTCAGCCATTTGTGTGCAGGAGTTGGTGGCTGTAATCCATTTTCCAAGAGACCGGTCGCTGTCACTGCGTGCTTATCGGAGCAGTGAGAAATGGGAATTCCCACAGGCGGCACTGAATCACGTTTGCTTCACACTGCTAAAGCCTCGCAGGCTGTATAACTCGTTTCAGTTCTCAGTCCTTCTCCAGAGCCACCTTTCCAAGCAGGGAAGGGCTGAAGCCGCATCCACGCTATGTGTGTGAGCAGCAGCACTCTTTCCTTCCCTAGAGGGCTTCAACCTCCGCTCCCACTCCCAGAGCACAAGGGTTCTATCAGGACACGCTCACAACTGCGTTCCTGGCTTGTCCCTCTGCTTTTCTCTCTCCCGTTTCTCTCTGTGCACTGTCCAGGTATGGTTTGTGCTCCAGGCGGGAGCTTTGCAGGGAAGGCTTTGCTCTGGAGCTGCCAGGTCAGCGTGTGAAGCGGTGATGACATCCTGGCAGAGCAAATAGCACATCCTTCAGCCTTCATGCAGCCATCTCCACTGTTCGGTTGCCAGCATGGTCATGCTGATGTAATTCGTACCTACTATATTTGTATTTTAAATGGAAGTTCTAAAACCAGAACTACTCTGTTATTAAAAGTGAGCACAGAGCTCAGGGACAGATTTTGATAGTACAGTAACCATTTCTGACTTCTGGTGTCAGAGGAAATAACAATCACTGACTGTAATGGCAGCAATGGCAGCTATGGGAGCTGCCCAGCAGGGCTGAGCCAACCGCACCAACCTCTGCTCAGCAGTGGCATGGGGCAGCTGGTGGATGGGGAGGGCCCAGCATGTTGTGCTTCAGTGGAAACATCTGCATAGCAAACAAGGCACTGGTAAATTCACCTTTGTACTGACATAGGTATACAGGACAGCTGAGACATTGAGCTTAACTATAAAACTGTGGTTACCAACCAGAGGACAAAAAGTTGAAAGAAAGGGCTGAAATTGAGGAGTCTGTATCTTACTTTTTGGTCAGAATGAGAGGAAATAGAAGTGTTGGATTTCAGGGGAATGCCTAAGCTGAGTTTAAGCACTATGCAGTTACTAAGTTTGCCACGTGTAGCCTCACCATGAGCACTGGGTGCAGTTTGGCCACAGTATAAGGAATACATACAACTATTAGAGAGCATCCAAAAGAGAGCAACAGAGATGGTGAAGGCTCAAGAGAGCCAAGTGTGTGAGGAGCAACTGAGAGTTCACACAGCCCAAAGCAGAGGAGCTGAGGGGAGGCCTGATGGAGGCTGCAGCTCCTCACAGGGAGCGGAGGGACAGCGCTGAGCTCTGCTCTCTGTGACTGAGACAGGGCCCGAGGGAACGGCATGGAGCTGCGTCAGGGGAGGGCAGCTGGGGGGTAGGGGCAGGTTCTGCATCAGAGGGCAGTGGGCATGGAGCAGGTTGCACAGGGCAGTGGGCATGGCACCAAGGTGATGGAGTTCAAGGAGCATTTGGACAGTGCTCTCAGACATAAGGTTTGGTTTTGGGTGGTGCTGTGTGGAGCCAGGAGCTGGACTCAGTGATCCTTGTGGATCCCTGCCCACTCAGGATATTCCATGATTCCATGAAAAGTCTCAGTAACTCTTCCTGTTCCCATTTAGTTTTCCCTCTCCTAGGCTCTCCTCTGTACCAGTGTGTGCCGTGTAGTGGACAGAGCAACTGAATGGATTACAAACAGAACTGAATTAATTGAGTATTTAAGT